GTACGCCTTTAGTCAATAACTGATTTCATTTCTTGCCGTTTTTACTTTTGTAGTCACGTCAGCTAATCAACGTGATTGGTCACTTGTTAAGATTTACCCCGAAAGAGGACGCATGCGTCAGGGAAGCAATGGAATGGAAGGTTTGTTTGAACATTTAATGTGGTTACTTCTCTGTCATATTATTATTATTATTATTATTATTATTATTATTCTTTATTATTGTTTGTGTCATACAAGTGAATTCCTAAGATTGGCCAAAGCCAGAGGCTTAAATGGCTTATGGTCAGAGACAAAGAGTAATTTTTCAAAGAACAATAGACTAATCTAAGGTATTCTAATCTAATCTAATCTAATCTAATCTAATCATAGAAGAAGAATAGTTCGCTAGCGCCCCTACTTGCTACTCTTGCTTCCTTCGTCGTCTTCGTTATAATTGTTACAGTGGCTAACTTCGTTGCTGCTCGGTTGGACTTACGCTCAGAGAAATACTCTAGGTTTTGAGTTGAGTGTTAAGCACAGCTACAACTATTCTGGGTACAGGGTTGTATTCTGTCAGTAGAAGTGCATCATTTAGCGGAGAGAAGTACGAGTAAGATCCCACGAGTTCAGCAGTTTGTGTTATTGAGACGAGTAATGCCTTTATTTTTTGTTTTCTTTCAGTTGCCATTAGATTAGGATTCTTAAAAAGAGTGTTGTTAGTTTTGGGTAAGTCTACATGATAACCTATCCTCAGTGTAGGTTTTACTAAAGCAATTTTTTTTCTCTTCTTTTTTTCTTACCTAAAGGTTGCTTTTCGTCAAAACTGAAATAAATATCTGATTATATTTACAGCAATGCCTCGCTGGTCTAATTAAACTACACTGTAAGTTATCTAATAAAGGCAACCTTATTAATCTAATTTTCGTGAACCTAAGTGGTCAATACGAGCTGCACTATTTTCGCAGTTACAACAGTTACTCTTGTGAAAATATTGAAGGGCAGCAGCCAGGATGAAACATAGTTGAAATATAAAAACGATCTCTGGCTAAAATGATTAAAAACTACGAGCTTTCGACTGCCCGAACTGCAGTCTTCAACGGGTACAATGAATGATAAGAAAGCGATGAGAAAATTTAAATAAAGACATGAACTGCGTAATAATGAGAATGTAAATGATTATGAATATTTGTTAAAAAGAATGTTGTATTGTCCAGGTAACGGGCAAGAATTGTTATCTGCGTTAGGTGTCACTCTGGTATGCTACGCTTCTAATGTTTTTCTGGTTCTAAAGGTGCCTTTGTCAATAATTGACGCGTTTTAAAAATCAATGGCGTGGTTGTTGGACAAGGCGTGATTAGCAATTCA